TCATTCTGTCGCCCAGGCTGGAGTGCAGTGGTGTGATCTCGGCTCACTGCAACCTCTGCCTCCTGGGTTCAAGCAATTCTCCTGCCTCAGCCTCCTGAGTAGCTGGGATTTACAGGCGCACGCCACCACGCCCCGCTAATTTCTGTATTTTTAGTAAAGACGGGGTTTTACCATGTTGGTCACGTTGGTCTCAAACTCTTGATGTCATGATCCACTCGCCTCGGCCTCCCAAAGTGCTGGGATTACAGGCGTGAGCCACCGTGCCTGGCTACTCTGTTATGTTTTACTTGATGGACATTTCGCAGACCCAAGTAGCTGATCCTGCCGAATGCACTGTGGAAATAGATGCTTTTAGTATGAGCAATATTTGTCCTGACCTTAAGGGATGCCCCCAATGGGGAAAGGCCACGGTTAGGACAGTGGCAGTGGGACCAGTGCACAACTGGGAGCCCACCAGACCACATGGTGGCAGTAAAGCAGCATAGAATACAAGGCTGGTAGGGCGGGGCAGGGGTGGGGGGGAAGTACTCTATCCACAAAAGAGCTGGAAGAGGCGGAACTGCTTAAGGAAACCCGACACCTGGTGCGGACTGTCCTTCCACTCGGCTAATTAGTACCAAAAAGCTTTAACATTCGGAGTGTGGGTGACTTATAATTGTGCAGACTGGAGCCTGTGGTAAAAAGATGTAGCCGCTAAGCAATGGTCCTCCTGTGGACATGGATGAAACATTTGCCTGATGCCACTATTAGGTATATCCTTTTTGAGAGGAAATTATTCGCTTGTTATTGGCTGTTTATGGACATTGAGAGACTAACAAAGCAACAGCAGGTGTTATGACGCCCTGACATCCCTGAGAGGGTAATAAATGAAAACACCGACAAAATGGATTTTTCCCAGAAAAGAAATAAGTTTAACATGTACAGGAAAAAGTGGTAGTCACCTTCTAGATACGGCTGTCTCAGATGTGGGGTCTGTGCCAGAGCTTCCTGGGGGCTTTGGTACACAATTGTTTCTGAAAATGCCTGGGCCTGATTCATGGACACATCAGCTCTGTTAAAGGCTGATGGGGTGCACTGGGCCACTGCAGCTGTTTAGCCTCAAGGAAATCTGTTTTAAACTGCAATGGAAAAGGAGAGAGAGAGAGTAAGAGAGAGAGCAGAGTTATGGGCTATGGTGTTTGCTCTGGAAAATATCTCCTAAAATTCATCTTGTTAACATTTTCACTGACTTGTGGGCAGTAGCCAGTGGACTGGCAATGTGGTCTGGTGCCTGGCAGTGGGACAACTTGATGATTAAGTCTTAAAGACTGAGGTCTGCTGGGTGCAGTGGCTCACACCTGTAATCCCAGTACAAGCCTCCTGAGTAGCTGTGATTACAGGTGTGTACTACCATGACCCCAGTTAATTTTTGTATTTTTAGTGGAGACGGGGTTTCTTCGCCATGTTGGTCAGGCTGGTCTCAAACTCCTGACCTCAAGTGACCTGTCCACCTTGGCCTCCCAAGGTTTGGGATTAGAGGCATGGGCCACTGCACTCCGCCCGTTTTCATAAATTAAGAAAAAAAAGTGGTGGGCTTGGTAGCTCATGCCTCTAATCCCAGCACTTTGGTAGGCCAAGGCGGGCAGATCACCTGAGGTCCGGAGTTTGAGACCAGCCTGACCAATACGGAGAAACCCCATCTCTACTAAATATACAAAAATTAGCCCAGTGTGGTGGCACATGCCTATAATCCCAGCTACTCAGGAGGCTGAGGCAGGAGAATTGCTTGAACCCAGGAGGCAGAGGTTCTAGTGAGCCAAGATCGTGCCATTGCACTCTAGCCTGGGCAACAAAAGTGAAACTCCACCTCAAAAAAAAAAAAAAAAAAAAGTGTAGTTGGAGCCACATAACACATGTAGGGGAAATAATGCCTTGTCTCAACAGTTTTGCTAATTTTTAGGGTAGAAAGATGAGTGTTTAGAATTTACATTTGATTAAGATCAGTGTTTCTGTAAAAGCATAATAGGGAAGAGGTGCAGAGCAGGAGAAGTTGACTCAAGCATAAGGAAGATTAGAGGAGCTTGGGGCCTGGGTTGGCTGAGAAGGCTGAGGTGGTCACAGCCAAGGCTCTGAAGGGCTCTTGGGGATCCTCATGATGGGCCTGGTAGGCCTGGCTTCTCAAGGCTGCTTCTTTCTTTCCCCAGCTCTGCCTTCCAAGGTTTCTGCCTGGCCCTGGGAGGAGAAGCCCAAATACCTGGTGAGTTGGGCCCACCTTTCTCTTTTCTGAAATGCTGGCTCATGTCTCAGAGAATGGGCTCATTTCTCTTTCTTGGGAAGGGAGGAAGTGATTAACATTTAAGCAGTTTATGCCTTGTGTTAGCCATTTTTCTAGGCATATTATAATGTTTTTTTTTTGCATTTAGTCTTTCTGTTATTTGAGCTTATACAAAAACATGACCAAGTTTAATATTAATCCAAATGTAATGGTAACTTTTTATTAAAATTCCCTACATCAAGATTTGCACAAATAATTTTAACATTTTAATAGTATCTAATAGTCTGATCTTGTACTTGGACTTCTTTTTTACATTTTATTATAGATAATTTTAAAGATATGAGGCTGGGCGCGGTGGCTCACGCCTGTAATCCTAGCACTTTGGGAGGCTGAGGTGGGCAGATCATGAGGTCAGGAGTTAGAGACTAGCCTGACCAACATGGTAAAACCCCGTCTCTACTAAAAATACAAAAATTAGCTGGGCATGGTGGTGCACACCTGTAATCCCAGCTACTCAGGAGGCTGAGGCAGGAGAATAGCTTGAACCTGGGGGGCAGAAGTTGTAGTGAGCCAAGATCGCGCCACTGCACTCCAGGCTGGGCAATAGGGCAAAACTCTGTCTCAAAAAAAAAAAAAAACAAAAAAAAAATCTCCAGACATCACTGAATGTCTCTGGGGGGAACAAAATCAAATCATCCCATTGAGAACACCTGGGCA